TACATGAAATTCAATTTACTGAAATTTACGTAAAATTACATGAAATGTAAAATTGTAATTTCTGTAATACAACCCTATCTGCATCACCTGATTAATAGAATCCATCGTTCATAATTCTGGTCAAACTTGCAGATCATTTGACCACATTTAAAGTTGTTTTGTTCCAGAATTATTAATTCACCGATATGCAGAGAAAAAGTGAAAAAAACGCAAAACAACAAAAACTGACGTTTAAACTAACCTTGGAGCACTAATTAAAAATGATGGGAGCCCAACTTTACACATATTAAGTAGATGTTTTATATATATAAACGCGAAACCTAATGAGTAAAAGTCTCTAGGGACTGAGGCTGTGCAGGCCATGCAGGCTGTGCAGGCTGCGCAGCCTGCGCAGTAGATTCAAAAAAACCTCGATTTTCCCATCTCTAACTGTGAGCCCGATTTTTGGGATCACCAGTTCCCGAATCGAAGCGACGATCCCTACCCGATTCGAGGTCATGTGAAAAGTAACAGAAATGTTACTTCTGTCACTTCCGTTACTTCCGTTACTTCTGCTATTTCGGTTACATATACGATAAACGAAATATCGACCTTTTATTAGATTTAATTAAGTTATAGAGTATAAGGAAGATATTACATTTATGACAGAAATTAATTGCGAATGTAAATAATTCTTTTATTATAAATAAAGGGCTTCTCGCCCAGGGGAAAGAATAACGAGACAACCCCCAAGTAAATACATTTGCCTAATAAAACTAAATACCGTCCCTTAATAAAAGTGAACGTAATATCCTATCCAAACTAATAAACTGTCGTTAATCCCATTGTGATCACTATCGTTCGCCCATAAACCACTAAACCGCAAATTGATCGCTCGCCATAAGTCACGTGACCAAGAAGGCCGTTAACGAAGAAGAAGAGTTCCAACCCCGATTCGACGTAGTGTAATCCCGGGTTGAGGCATACAAGAGAAGACAAGAATTAGAATAAGAAGAGGTTGAAGGAAAGACTCAAAGAGGAGACTAGTACTTACCTACGGATAAACCACCAGCCAAATCTAACACGCCTTTTTCGACTTAGCCGCCGTAGGTTACGCGAGAATTGGAAGAGAGTAGTGACAGACTCGCCGAATTCCCGAATTACAGTACGTAGTGATGGGCAACTTGGGTAGAGGTAAACAATCTGCGGGTTCACATTATACATGTTACCCGAAACGAAACCTATCCGAAACCCCGAAACGTATAATCCGAAACTTATACTGGTTATCCGAAACCTTTTAACACCTATGATTGGGTGTGATGCGTCACATGACAAGCAGTGAAAAATCAACTACCCATCAAATTTGGGACGATCTACGGACACGTACCAATTCACATGACTTGCACGTACCCTAACTTTAGGGTAAGTATACAGGTTTTAGATTTACGGATTATGTTGCGACATAATATGCGCATAATTTTGCCTATACCGCATACGCATTATGTGTCGCACATAATTGCATAATTCAAGATTTAAAGCATAAGTCCCTGCATAATTTTGTACTTTACAATAATGCGTCCAATGAAATTGCTTGACGATAGTTGTGGTAGGACGAAAAAATAATTTAAGCGAATTCGAAGAATTTCAGAATCTGTTTCTACTTACAGCATATACATAATCTCTCTTGCACATATGTATGAACCCTATTACTTTCGTTAAAATCCAACTACAGTTAACTCTTTTTATAAGAGACTGGTGGTTCTTACTGTAAAAAGCTTCAGAAGTCCGTTATATAGTAATTTACAAGGTTGGTGCTTCGTTATCCGCTCTAGTTATTTTTTTATAAAAATTAAATCCTACTAATTTATTATAAATATGGATTTGGCTTTTAATCCGAATATTTAAAAATAATATACTATTTGATTAAATTTTTTATTTAAAAAAAAAACTGGATGATTAGATAATTTGCTTTGTATAAGAAAACTACAGTCTTGATATAAAGAGAACTTGTTAAAGTAACTTTGAAATTTGTATCCTTTCTTTATAATATAGTCATACGCGCTTAAGAATTAATGTTGAGAATATAATCTTAATTAATTTTAGGTTAGCTATTAACCAATTGAAATAGATATTTGATATACAAACCCTAAATCTGTATTAAACGTCTTAGAAGAAATGAAGTATCAAAATATTTTACAATCATTTTAGATGCGTGGTGAATTAATTTGTACAGGTGAAATTTTATTCTATATAATTTTATTGGGATACTGTTAATTACAATATAAATAATTATTTTAACTGATGCTTTAATTTAGAAAAATTTTAGAAGTTATATATTAGAATCCAATTTGTACAGAATTATAGCGATAAAATAATAAATAAGGTTTATCATAAAGAATAGTATAGAATAGATTACTATAGTTACTGTCACTAAAGGTAATCATTTTAATATAGTCTTTTAATTTTTTATCTACTCTTATTTAACAAATCTTATTATTTAATAAATAATAGTTAAGTTTGATAACAGTTATAATACTTATGAATAAACTTAGAATTTAACAATATATTGATTGGTAATATGATTTAATTTGGCGCAGATTTAGTATTAATAATTTTATTGGTTAAAAAACTAATATATATATAATATTGCACAGAAGTGATTTACATATTAATTTGATCATTTATCTTATCGTTCCACTTTGCTACTTAAAAATGGGTGTATCAGCTATTGAACGTGCTCAAGCAAAAGAATACAAAGATGTGTTTTATGCCGACAGTGGCAAACTTTTTTGTCGTATTTGTAAAGTTGTTGTTGAACATACCCGTAAATCAGTTATTGATAGTCACTGCAAGTCAAAAAAGCACAAATCAAATTTAGAACTTGAAAAAACTTCTCCTCAAAAAACACGACAAATTACTATTACTTCATGCAATAAAGTACTTACTGAACGTGAACAACTTAATATTGATTTTATAAATGCTTTAACTGCCGCTGATATTCCTTTGGAGAAGGTTGACAAGTTAAAGACATTTTTTTTAAATAAATATTGTAACCAAGGTTAGTATTATATCAGAATCATTATTATTAATACTTACTATAATATATATACTAATATTTAAGTTTTAATAGGTGGCGATATTGTTGGTCCTAATCAGTTACGAGATAAATATCTTCCATTAGCTTTTGTACAAGCAAAACAAAGTTTACATCAAGAACTTAATAATCAATATGTTTCTATTACGGTGGACGAAACAACTATGTGTGGAAAAAATGTTGTTAATGTATTGTTTAGTTTTAAAAATAAAACTAAACTTGTTAAAACTTCTCATTTAACAAAAGTTAATGGTAGTATAATTGCTCGTCTTACTATAGATACTCTCCATTCTTATAATATTCCATTTGATAATACTATTCTTTTTATCTCTGATAACGCCTCTTATATGAAAAAAGCATTTGACATTCTTTTTTCTTTAATTCCTCATTTGAGACATAATGGATGTTTAGCGCATATTTACAGTTTAGTAGGCGAAACATGGATTACTTATAAGAATTTTAAGGGATTAGATAGTGTAGTTAATAATCTTAAAGAAATTTTTATTTACTCTTCTGCACGCAAAAGAAGGTGGCTTGAATATTTGGCACTAAATACTATATCAAATTCAAATTTTATGCCTATAGATAAAAATCAAATTGATTTAGAAAATTCATCAAATATATCAAATAATCTTCGTTCTACTCTTCCACCACTTCCTGTAAAAACCAGGTGGAATTCCTGATTTCGGTTTATTTTTTGGTTGCATCCTTATTTGGATCTTTTTTCAAATTTTATTTCTGATGAAATTAATCTAGCAGGTAACAAAGCAAGTAACGCACTTCAAGAATTGAATAGATCATTTCAAGATCGTGAACATTTATTTTTTTTAAAAATAATTATTATGTTTATAACTTTTAATGCACAATCGTATGTATAATATGTAAATTATTAAATTATCTATTAATTAAATACTAATATAATATTTTATTTTAGGCTTGTAAATGATTTAGAATTTTTTGAGATTCGAAACAAACCTGTTGCTCCATACATTATATCTCGTATAGAACAAACTCAAGCATTTTTAGAAAATGGAACAATTAATCAGCCTTTTAGTACTCAAATGAATGATGAATTTATTACAAGAAATATTAATTCTGAATCTTATATAGCTATGTTTCGTGAAGCTTTTGAATTAGCATTAAGCAAATTTAATAAGCATATTACAGATCATTCAGCACTTGTTCTATTTAGAGCTATTCAATGTTTCGAGCCTCGATGGATTCGTCAACAAGCTACTAGGAAAAGTCTTTTTTTATACTCAGTAATTCCAGAATTCAATGAACCAAATAATCAATTAATTCATGAATGGGGAATATATTGTGGCGGAAATGAAATTTTTGAGTCAGATTTTAATTTGGAGGAATATTGGTTAGAAAAAACTTCTCTTTTACCTTCTTTAAGTAGAATTGCTTTAAAGTATATTTGGGTTCCAATTTCTGCTGTTGATGTTGAGCGTAGTTTTTCTGCATACAAAAATATTTTAGCTGATAACCGGCATGCACTTTCTTCTGAAACAATTGAAATGTTAAATATGATGTATTTCAATCAGAGCACTAATAATAACAAATAAAATTTGAAATCGCATATTTTACATAATTTTTAATATTGCGCATAATATGTACATAATTTTGGTCAAAAACTTGCATAATTCTGCATAATTTACAACTTGTCGCATGCATAATTTGACCATCTTCGCAACATAATCCTGGACACCCTACCGTAGACTTTCCCTAGATTTATAATAGGTACGTACAAATCACGTGAATCGGTACGTGTCCGTAGACGGACAATCTACGGACAGTTCTTAGGGACAGTTCAAATCACATAAATAGTTAGTTAGGGACAGTTAGGGTTAGTGGTTTTAGTAATATCACGTGAATCTCACTGTCCCTAACTGTCCGTAAGAACTGTCCGTAGACTCGGCGGTCCGTAGACGGTCCGATCAAATTTACTATGTAATTTTTTCGATCATGTGATGATAGACAAAAATTGGCCAATGCCGAATCTTGATTTAGTGTAACATCACGCGATCAGAAAAATACAACCGTTCATTTTGAAAAAATCGTCTTTGTCTCAATATTTTGCCCAATAAACAGACCTTTATGGACTAACAAAAAAAATTCCTTGGGTAATTTTACTATAGCCCTTTAATCTTTAACATTAGTTTAAACACTAACTCTAACATAAACGAATCTTAAAGAATTTTGTTGATGATCACATGATCGAAAAAATTGGTGGGAAATCGGTTCCTAAAGATTCCGTTATAAATAATAAACGAGCAAAAATTTTTTAGCAAATATAAAATCTGAAATAATATTAATGTGCTGCACAAAATAAATACATATATCGCATAATTAGAGTTTCGGATGAGAGTTTTAAGTTTCGGAATAGGTTTCAGATTTCGGGGTTTCGGGAGAGGTTTCGGGTTTCGGGAAAGGTTTCGGAAAG